TCTCCAATGTCATCAGTAACATTTACGATGCCATGAAGGATGGAGGAGCGAGTACTTTGAGGTTGCCTCATCGTCGCTTTAAATCCCGTTACCCGATCGTAAAAGACGTTTGACGACCCACGAAGAAAGAGAGCAAAAAAAAAAAGGTGAGCAAAGGGGAGGGATAGGTGGTGGAAAACGGGTATATACTGGGGCAAGAGTGTTCCGCCATAAAGACAGGGAGTTGGGGGGATCAGGGGGTTTCCCCATTGGAGACCCCTTAGCAAAACGTTCATGACATTTACGTACCCACTTGCCAATGATCGTTCCCATAATCTCTAATGGACCGACAACGCGAAAAAGATAGAATATAACAATTAGGAGATGATATTGTAACAATAGTCATATTCCTACGAGGATAACGAGATGAGGAAATCTCTTTATCATTCATTGGTGGTGACTTGAGTGTTCACCATCTTCATTAAAGTACTCGTACATCCAGTATCAATGGTCTGAATCTCTATAACAGTGAGATATTGCTCGATCCACTCGAGTTTACGTACCACAAGACCATTCACATCATCTCCATTCCCCTTTTCCGGAATTATTATCCCTGTTGAAGACGTGTTCCCCACGCATTTGAATATCCCGAGGGTGCCGAGGACATCGGGATGCGCCCTTCATGAATTGGAAATACGCAGTTGCGATGGCAAAACAACTCATAAAATGCATAAACCCGGGGCATTCGGAATGCCATTGTCGATCACATTTTCCCAAGAGATATAAATATCTCGGGTGATCGGGAACACCACGAGAATCCCCTCGTATTCGTTCTGAATAAACTCGTGCATTAGCGAATCATCATCCCGGGGAACACCTGGTTCCTCATCTGCGGGATCCACCAATTACATCGAGAGGATTATAAATAACTTCGGAGAAGATGTCACGACTGCTTTTATGTGACCCTCTTCACTCTGTCGTTTACGGTATAAACAGCCATTGAATGCTCCACTTCTGGTGGTCCAAATTGAAAAGAAGAAAGAGAAGAAGAAAAAAAAAAGGTCTTTCTCCAAATCAAAACGGTTTGAAACATTTCATAACCACGTGTTTCCGTAATAGTCTCCCAGACGCACCCTCACATGCCCTTCATGCATCTCCCTAGGTTATACCCCACGTTATTAAGGTCAGCCACCTGCCGCTCGATGGAGCTCACTTCAGGGATGAACACCATTATATCCCAGAGGTACCTTCCACGTACGTGAGCATCAGGGGTATAAGGGGAGGTACGCGATGTACCTCCAACAAAGAAAAATAAGGAATGCGAAACGACGACTGGGGAACGGCAGTCGTCGGAAAAGATCGCTATGAAAAGAATGAAAAAAAAAAGAAAATGTAAGAAAAGGGAATCGAGTTGGTAGAGTGGAAAGAGTGAAAAGAGTGGATGAAGGGAAAAGAAAACTCCAAGGAGTGAAAAAGGTGGAAGAGGAAGGGCGGGGGGCAGGGGGGGAAGTAGGGGGCCCAGCGGGGTATAAAGCCCCCGGTAAGAATAAAGGGAAAAGCGAGAAAAATGTGTCTAACGTGCGCTGGGGCAATTCTTCAGGCCAAGTTGCCGCCTTAACGCTCGTTGGAGAAAGGCGATTGGTTCTCGAGAAGAGCTCGCGGGAAAGATGGCCGCCATTTCCCTCCAACCACCCAAGGGGGATGCCCCCCTGTCCCCTCTCCTCCCCTTTACCACGGTGTTTCACCTATTCTGGTGTTTTTCCATCTCAGTCACTCCCGTTGGCCCCCCCCCCTGAGCATTAGCCCGCGGGGGTGTCGGCGAAAGGAGTAGCCCATCCCAAGGAAAAGGGGTACGAGACGCTCGGGGGAATCCCCGGGACTCTTATTCTTATTAACTGTTTAATCTTTTCACGGGATATACGAGCGCATTACCGGAGCTTGTTTATTTCGAGGGTTTCTATCTCGTTTCATCCCTATCTTGTTTTCTCCCTTCCTCCCCCCCGGGCCGTCAAGGAGTCACTGAGCCCACGGTACCCCCAGGAGTCTCGTGTCTCTCCGTTGTAATATACCGAAGACACAGATGAGACGAGATTACTTCCCCTCAAATCAAATCCCTTTCCGTCACTCGTTAATGCAACCCTTTGCACCCCCAACAATTGATTGGAATATTAAATTTTCATTTATACATCTCTTTCCGGTGTGGGTGTTATTTTTCTCACTGCCGGAGTCTTGCATTTTTATTAATTTCACACCATTCGGGTAATTAAGGGCGAGAATGGCGCTGTGTAATCGAAAGGGGTTGCAAGGAGGTGAGTTAATTTTCAGGGAGTGAAGGAAAGTGAGAGGAGTTACAGCACTCAATTATTTGATAATGTTACCGGGACTCCTCGGAGGGAATCTCGTTAAAACTTTGGAGTGATCTTAGTCTACTGTAATCTTCGCCGATGTTTATATCGTCGTCGTAAATCTGTAGTCGCTACTTAGAGAATACGTATCTATTTGCACAGACGAGGAATCCTTAATCGTCGTGAATATTTTGGTTGAAAAATATTTGGGGCGAATTGATGACATCAATGGCATCAATGGCATGGCTGTCATTGCTGTAGCGATACAACAGTTGTTAATTAATTCGTGGTACCTTTTCAATCCCCTGGAAGTCTTCAATCACGTCGACCGGAGTAAGATATTCTAGGTGGTGAGTCAGGGAGTCGTTAAGATCGTTGTCTAACCAGTGAAGCAACTTCTCTTTGTGCTGAACCAGGTGAAAACTGGAATTTTAGGTGTTGCTTGGAGCTGCCATTCTACTGCCATTCTGCTGCCATTATTCTGTCATTCCCAGCAACTGCAGAATGACATGAAATTAGAAATGCTCATCACCCATCATCAACGCTTTATTCCAACCATTTTGTTTTGTCCTGCGGCTCCCTGAAATTTATCACCCAATCAGTCGAGGGTCCTGGGGCAAATGTTTCCGTGAAAATAAGTGAAAGGTAGCGGGTTTGGCGAGAGATTCCCTCAGGTACAGAATGGGAGGAGTAGTGCTGTTTCGAATTGAGATGCTTGGATAAAAAAATCCTTTCAACTTGATGATGAACGACTCCAGTCGAGAGGTGGAGCCAATCCTCTCAGGGACAACGATCACAAGTTGACGTACGAGCACGAGGACCACCCCTGGAGATAGAGTCGAAAGGTTCCAGCCGGTTTTCCAAAACAAAAAAAAATATATATATTATATTTATCACTTTGCCTACCTGCCGCAATTCCTTTCTCTAGTGTCGCCGTTTCTTATCTCTCCCTTTTTCTCCTCTTTTGTACGCTCTTCTGTACTCCCGTGGGTCCTGGAGACACGAGGATAACTTGATATTTTTTTTTTTACCTCCTAATTTTAACCAACCACTGCCCCACCACAGGAGAATTTATCTGTCGGGGACGTACAGTCATGGCATGATTAAATGGTTGGCAAGACTCATGGACGTATGAATACACGATTCGAACTGAGAAGACTCCAACGTGGGAATTTCCGGGTATTTATGACAAGGGTCGTGCACATAGACATCTTAATTATTGCTTCTACCTGTGGCTGTTTCGTTTTTTCGGCACGTGAAGGTATTTTTTTTCCAGCGGTATAAAGACATCTTTATTTTCTACTGCATTAATTCCACCGCTAGATGTTTCGGGGTATGAGTCATTGTTCACTCGTAGCCAGTGATAATTTTTACAGCGAGATCGTTAAATTTATAAACAATTGGGGTGGCGCCTGAAAACCACAAAATGGCACTTTCCCATCGCAGGGAATGGTAAAATTTTTTTTTTATTCAGAAGTTTTTCCCTCGTTCGATTCACCCTCGGAGTGTATAACGGCGAGGGGTGGCAACAGCCGTAACTCAAATTCGTCTCAATTTTCCTCGGGAAATTTCGTGAAAGGACTTACCATCGGCCATCGGTGGTTTATCAACGGGCCATTCCATTATGTCCATTGGTTTTCGGACCTCCTCCAGTGGATTAATGTTTGAGGACAAGGGGAATGGCGATGAGATCCGTTCAGTCGGAAATTCAGTCTCTCGATAAATTAACACGTGCGATTTCCCCCGAATAAACGAGAAAAATCCGTGATTTTTGCGGCTGCAGGAGTGAATGAAAAGTTTGAGCTTTTTTTTTTAAAAGAAGACATGGGGAATAAATGAAGATCACGTCTGGAATTTACAGTGGCTAGGTGAAAGAAGAAAGTAGGTAAAATGAAAAATGTTTGGCTATTACGCCAAGAGCCGTTATGCGCTCGAGCCACGGTATAACCGGGGGCATAATGAATTAAGGAAAATCAGAAATTGCTTCGAATGACGTCGTAAAAATAAAGTTGGTTGAAAAAGAGGGTCGGTGGGTAGTGCCAGAGAAGAAAGAAGAAAAGAGAAAGATTATAATATAAGGTACTGAGTATAGGTGCTCTCTCTTTGCTCCCTGAGTGGGAATGTGTAGCTCGGAAATTGCCGAGAGAATGCGTATTAAAATCGCTGGATTTAGTGGGGAGATAAGCCGAGGGTCTTGCAATAGAGAAGGAGAGAGTCGGGGGATAAGATTTTCAAGCGTCTGGAGATCGAGGAAAAACTTGGGTGATGTTCATCCTCTCGCTCGGCTTTTTCCATGCCCGTTATCCAAACCCAACTTCAACCCCCCCACATCCCCAATTTTAGCCACCTTCGAACCATCATTTAAGTCGCCATCCGCAATCTCCTTTTTCTACTACCAACGCCATTTTCTTCGCGCCTCCGGCTAAACACTTATCTCGGCATTCTTCCAGGGGATTTTCCAGTCCCGCGAGTTGATGAGACTTTTCAAATTTTTCATTTTCTTACGGAGGTACCCTTACAGGGATTTTTTATTCGAGATATTTCGAGAGTTTTCAGATCGATTTCATTTCTCATTTTTATGTTACTATTTTTAAAAACTCATAAACTCATAAACTCATAATTTATAAATCCAAATAAAATACCTATCATTTCATAATTTCTTCTTACGTATTTTTTTATTCAAGTTGTTGACTGAAGAACATGAATAATTGTAAATAAAAAAATGTTAATCCATTGATGATGGTCTCGGTGTCTCCACCCCACAATTGAATATTCCACGGGCCACAGTGGGCTCGTCTCCAGTCGTTGGCTGCACTTTTACGTCGTCGTAAAACCGTCGTAACAATTAATAAGTATCTCGTAAAAGCGATTACTGTTGACACCTCTTTGAATGACAGGGGCGTACGAGTGGATTTGAGTGTTGAGTATTCAGTGGTGTTCCCTCACACCAAAGAGATGTGAAAATACGAGTCAAGTCGTAAGATCCCAAGCGATTGATCATAAATCAAGTTTACTAGCAGTTACTTTTAATCGGGTAGTTATAGTACGGTACGATCATGTCTCGAGATGTTTCATTTCTTCTCGATCCTCTCTTCCTCAGCTACCGCTGATGGTTAAATCCATAAACTGTAACACAACAACAACCAATCGACATTATTATACATTATTAAATTATACAAAAAAATAAAATTTATAAAATAGGATAGCTCGGGAAAGTACTTCAGTCTCCACTCGGCTTAATTGTCTCACCCTTGAAATAGATTCAACCGAAGGAGGCAGTTACCCAGTGCCGAAACAAATACAATTTCTGTTGGCCATTGCACGAGTGAGAAAGACGCAAGAGTCTATCTAATATTGTGCTGTACGTGGAAGTATATGCGAGGATGTAGCTGTAACGACACCAAGTGCGAGGGGTATGTTTCGCCGCAGAGTCGCGGTCGGGTCTGCGTCGTTGACTTAATTAAGTTACACACCGTCCGCGTCGTTCGGTACGTATTAATGTCACTGGGGGTGAGTATTAATTGGGGACCAATGCCACCCAGAGGAGCCTGCTGAATTCACACCAACGGCCACCATCTCCACAGATAAATTCAATATTTCCACCTAAAATAAATAAATAAACCATGACAATTGGACAAATCGATCTCGAATTATTGGAGTTCAATTAATGGAGCTGCGGCTGTGGCTGGTGGAAATTCTTGAAGACGAATGGGGTGCGTATGGGGTTGTATGTTGTCTCGGATATATGGAGGCAGGGGTTGACTCGTCCAGAAGGGACTCCTGGGGGATATCCGTGGGTGGCGCTAAGCCAGCTTCTTCCTCAGGGGCTAAGGGTTGTCGTCGTCGAGGGGAGTAGGACAGCATGGCGCAGAGCAATAGCTTTTACGACTTGGCCATAGTATCGAACGATCTATCCAACCATTAAGATAGTCTCCAAACGATTCGGTAACCTTTGGGTTCCTCAGAGCGATACGATATCGAAGTATATGCCGAGGGGGTCCGGTGACCGCGCGTTTTCGTGAACATTTCTTTTTTTTTCTTCTTTTTTCTTTTCTCACCCTCGTTTTGACCCCAGTCTATTTCTTCATGCATACCGAGCGAATACGCTCCCTGCCCCATCAAAAGCCCAGGTCTTATCTGCACACCTTATCATACGGAAGCCCTTCGATGAATTTTTTTTTTTCTCGGAGGGGCGTGCGGATCCTCCTGGGGATGAGCCCCTCGAGGGTGTCAGATTATGAGGGTTTTTTAATAGGCCAGGACCTGGGGTCGACTGGCCTCGGTAAATATCGGGGGTGGAGCGAGGATGTCGACGATTTTCTTCGACAAACATCATCTTCATGTAATCGCTTTATTCCGGGATGGGGTCAGCCTAATCAGGTCTTCATCGTGAGATATCATTGTCGAGGTTATTTCAGGAAATATTACCGTCGTCATGGACATTTATATTCCTATCACATCAATTTTATATTCCATTTTTTTTTTTAAATAATTCGTGTTAAACGATTTTTTTATTCAACTCAAAGGATTTGAATTTAGTAATTAAGTTTGTCAATAAAAATCCTGGGGGAATCGACTGTAATTATTCTCGAATTACTTCGACGAATATCTATTCTGTCCCGACGGTTCTCGAAGTCGATGCAAAAATTGCCGGTCTGAAGCATGAATATTTCCCGAGCACTCGAGGTTACTCCAAAAAAAAAATGGCATTCCCGGTTGCAATTCCGTGAAACTTTTCCAAAAAACGTAACAACCGAATGGCATAATGGCCGTATTTCCCCCATGATTATTACGTCCAATCCAAGTGAGTGCTAATAACGTAATGGCGGACCGCGAGGGCTGGACGCCGGAAGTTGGTCGAGGTCGATAACATTCTCGTTATAAAAAAAAATTGCGTGAGCCATTTATCCGATTGACTCTTTAATCTCAATGATTGCAATGTCATTTATGGGTAGAAGTATTACAGTTCTTATGGAAACGCAGTTGAAATATAAAATGCAATGAGAGGATCTGGGTAGAAGGGATATTGCAGTGGTAAGTCTGACGAGAAGGGGATGATTTTGCGAGTGTGCGGAGGCGCCAGAAGTCGCTAGGGGGTTGGTATGCATATATATCCGGTGGAAAGTTGGTAGAAAGACGATGGGGTTGGAGGTGGTGCGGCCCCTGGCGGAAAAGCCGCGTATTTTCCCGGTGTGGGTGGAAGGGAATGGAAGGGGATGGAATGGAATGGAATGGAGTCGAGAGTGCCGTAGGGTGAGTACAGCAATGAGAAGGGGTGGAACGGGGACCGGAGATTGATAACGCAATTCCAAGACTGCCATTACCCCCGACTACGTTCTGGCGTCTCGCTCCGGTACTCCTATCTCTCCCTCTTCTTTTGCTCTTTTTCCATTCTTGCATTTTTCTTTCACTCCTTTTTTATTATTTTCACTCCCTTGTTCCTCGGGGCGAGGAGGTAGGAGCCGAGTTTCAGAAATGTTGAGTCTATAAATGCCAGACTGGTTGCCCGGTATAGAGGGAAAAATAGTATTTGTGGGGATGACGTAGTGGGAAGTATGCGGGTAATAGAAGAAATGAAGTTAGTACTGGGGGGTGGTAATTAAGAGGCTGTTCGCTTTTATGGCATTCACCAATTTCCAATTTCCGTGGATGTTTTTTTTTCGCAATTTTGGGTGAGACACTTGATTTGTCACTTGGACTTTGGAAAGAAGATTCTCGGAATATCGAAATTGGTGTTGGAGATGTACTCTGGGGCTTGTCGAAAAAACCCAGGGGATAGAATGATAAAAAGGGGTCTGACGATGGGTTGCATCAGTGATAGTCACTGGTGTTGGTCTTGTTGGTATTAGTGGGGATGGTTTTTTCGGGGCGACGGTGGTGGAGAGGAGGTTCGCGAAAAATACGATTATAACGATAATTGTATGTGCGGAGTGCAGGGTATATATCTTGTTTATTCGTTGCCAGGGCCACTAGCTATGTACATCTAGACGACGGAGAGGGTGGGCTATATACATCCAATGCGCCATAGTAAAAATGGCGGGTACGGGGGATGAAAAAAAAAAAAAGTAGAGAGAGAGAGAGGATGAGAGAGGGGGTGGGAGTTTTTGCGGAAACCGTTGACTCCCCGGGAACGCAAATTTTCTCGTGGGTACACTCAAACCCCTCCTTTTCTCCACCTCTCTCCCTCACCACTCTCTTTTTCTCTTGTCTCCAGTGAAAATAGCTGCGTATAGCTCTCCAGCTTTGTGTATTCTTCTGAGCCCCCGTTCTTTCCGTTTATTGCAAGTGCAATTGATGGCATGGCATTTCCCCGCTGTTCGCTTCGTTTGCTGAAATGTCGAGTGTATTTTACCCATTCACCCTTCGTAGAATGTTGATGCCATATAAAAACTTGAATGCTGATACTTTCAGAGTCGCTAAAGACTATTTACGGTATTTTTTGAAAACACTTTGTCGACTATTGAATGAACGTGAATTGCTTTTCGAAATTACCGTGTTTAAACAAAAAATAATTGTTATAATTAAGTGATAATTGTTCATTAAGACTTCATCTTGGCTGCGCTGGCCGAATAGTGACCCGATTTAACTTTACGATAATGAGATGTTAATACCACAACTCAATTCAATGGAGGCCATTATTTCTCGTGATAAAAAAGACGGATAGCGGCAGTTATGAGGCATCGACAAGATTCTCTATTGAGTGCCTATAGACTCGATAATTCCATCGGTCGGAGGATATCATGCAGTATCGACAGATTCCATCGAATATTGGAAAGGCATGGGAGGGGTAGAAAAGACTCTAAAAGATAATCCGGGAATAGCTCGTAGAGAGCATTCCGCAAAGTCATCTCTAGATTCGTCGGAGATTCTGGCTCTTCCACCTATACGACGTCGTTCCAAGGACTGTCTACGCGAGTCGTATTCGGGGTGGAAACCGAGGACAATGACGCTCTTTATTGTCCCTCATGAATAGCGAATGCCTTCGTGTGGCGCGAACTTTTCTTATATACCAAAGATTTGTTGTTGCTGTGAATGCCCAAGTGTACGAATGTTTTAAAACAAGTATGAGATTTTCAGGGGTACATAGAGCGGGTGGAAAAAAATAGGGGGTGAGATAGTGGTGAGAGTCCGTCGGGAAATGGCGGTGGCGCATCGGCCAGATAGGAAAGTGTTAATCCCGGGTAGGCAACTTTGCCGCCTCTCTGGAGAACTTTACCCGCTTATGCCAGAGAGAGGATTTTCAACCAATAAATTTGGAGCTTTGTATAAGCTTTCCACGCTCGAGTTTAAATCCCAGGACTGGGTTTACGCCTCGCTATTTTTGCATGTGTATGTGGTCTGTGTGGATGCACATTTTGGCAGTAGTTATAGTCGCTGAAAATCCCATGGCCCTTGAAAATTGTGGCCGGCTTTGATCGTCGACTTAGTAGATTGTTTATTGATTTTGGACTTTCAGCGTTGTGGAGTTTTCAGTCGGTGAATTATTAGTACTGAATCGTGAATACACGTTAAATATCAACGCAAAATACTATTCCATCCTGTCCTATCTGTAATCCTCTGGCCCCTCCCTCTCCCTCCGCCCCCTCCACCATCCGGAATACGCCATTTGCCGCCAATAACCGTTAACATGCCATGCGAATCGTTCGGAATCGGGATAGCCCAATATTCGGCTCATTTAACGTTAATCAATGTTTCTGGTTTTCCAATTTATTTCATTACCCGCTTCTTTTTTTTTTTTTCGGCACTTGATTTATAACTTTAACGAGCTCCATGAGGTCTGATAATTCCCCCGTTTGTAATCGATGGAGTATCGAATTAATTAGGGGAACTAATGCGAAATAGAATCTCGAAAATGCAAAATTACGGATGAGAGTTAATAGAATGAATGCAAATGTCTTGGCGATGGAAAAAAAAAATCGTTTATCCAGGCAAACAAGAGGATCTTGATAGTCATATTACCCCGGTCATCAGCGAGAATGCAATTTCAGAGTCCAGCAATTTTGACATTCTCAGCAGCAGCCGTCAGCATTGCCAATGAAGAATCCCCTCCAATCAGATTGGAAGAGCCGATATTTGGGTCAAATCCAAGAGTCATCACCGAAGATAGCGAATCCTTACTCCGTGTCGTTGTCAATGGGTCATTAATCCTTGACCGATCGTGCTGATAACTCCCCAAGAAGCACCTCGATGTTAACGATCCCGATTGGTTCTCTTAATGAGGCAATTTTATCGCTCCCACTCCAGCCTGAAAACAAAGTTCATTACAATTAATCAAACAGTCGTGCTAATGGGTAATGGCAAGAGAGCGGTGTCTTTCATGTGAAGAAATAATCGAGACACGGAGAGAAACTCGTTTTCGCCAGTGAGTCTGATGGGAGTCTAGTAATGACTCGGTCTCCAGCGACTTGAGATAGGCTTGGATGAAATTGATGTCAGGCATTGTCAACGACTTTGAGGATGAAGCCATTGGTGAGTATCTCATCGATGAATGGAAAGCAGTGCGAAGAGCAAAATGGTGGACAACGTGTGGTTGGTGTACGAGATTATCCGGCAATGGGGAGGAGATCTTGGTACAGCAGTAAACGGGGTAACAAATGGCTGGCATGATGACCAAAGGTAGAGTAGGGGGATTACGTGAATAAACCCCTAGGTCTCTGAAGCGGGCAAAAGGCTGAAGCGATACACGATGTTGGGTTGGAGTGAGGGGATGTGGGTGATACGGTCCGATAAACACTGCATTACTCTTCTCTAACCAGGGTTGCCATGGCATCTAGAGTACTCTAGTCCTGGTCCTGACGATGGACCAGCTTCTGGCTTAAACCTCCTCAACAATCACGAGTCATTACCGAGGTTTTCACCTAGATTAATCCGACGTGCGTGTTATATTTATTTTCCTTCGAGTAGAATTCAGACCGCTGGGGATTACACCCTGAAGAACTCCACCCCGCAGATTATTTTCCAACAGATCAACCGGTGATGGTTGCAAAGGGGTGCTTAGCCATTCGTGGGTACATGATATGGTACATTGTATATTTTCGCAATACAACGCAATTCTCGCCTGCCCTCCAGGCAGGTACATATATACGTATCCCTCATAAGGGAGATATCGCTTTGAAATCAAATGACCCATTTGGTTTTAGTACGGCCATTCGGTGGACGTCTATGTGCCCAGGGGTGGTTCCAGGATACACTGGAGTTGTCTATGGCAGGAGGAGCATAGCCTATCCGACAACGAGACTCGGTAACAATAATCTGAATGATAAATCAACTGCTGAATAAAACAGAGCACAATCGTTTTGAATAAGTCGGAACTACTCCTGAGAGATGTTTGGAGATTATTATTCTCATTGGAGTCGATCTTCGAAGTGATGATCACCAGTCGCTTCATCGACTCCATAAATAAGAGGATTATACCGAGGTATAATGTATATCGTTGAGACTCTGAGGTTGCTATTCCTCATACGACAGCATCTGGAGCGATTTTCAGGGACACCAGGCGAGAATCCTAGGGTAGATTAGCCGAGGTGAAACACGTGTTCGGGGTGCGTCGTGCTTGAGGGGTTGAAAACAGCTTAAGAACAGTATATCGAGTGTTTCGGGGGTTGAAAAGAAGAAGGTAAGACGTGTCGTTAAGCACAACTGGTGCTTGATGGACGGAGCAAGAGCTCACGCAGAAGATGTGGAGTGGTGGTGGGGAGAGGAGGGATGGTATGCTCATCTGAACTCGCGGAAGCACCTTACCAACATTAAATCATCCAGCTCACCCCAGCGGAGGATATTAAGATGCATTACGATCGCGGCTTGCCATTCGTTCCTGCATATGGCTGTACTCACTGGCAACCGACCAAATTGGAAAGCGCGCAGTTGCGAAGTTTCCCACACCCTCTTTCGAATTGAACTAACCCACGAGACTCTGGCTCGTTTCGTAGTTTCAACTCAGCTCACGCCATAGGGATGAACATTTCAGATTATACGATTCGTTCAAGAGGATCCAATGATCGTATTCACTGGGAAAAGCCACATCAGTTATGGAGGTCTCGATGGGTTGATTTAGAGACTCATGGAGTCAATGGATGATCTGATGGTGCTGGTGCTGTTTGACGTGTATCGAGTGGATGATTCTTCATGTCTCTGTGAGTGAATTTTGGTGAAATCAATTGGGATATGCAAAATGAGGATTCTGGGGAATCATCAAACTTTACAGCAAGTCCAGTTCCGAGGGAAATCTAATTTGAAAAATTTCCACACGAATTGACAGAATTTCATTTCCCCTCCAGCGCAAATATAATCAATTCGACTACTTCTGAAATCAACTTTCCTGCAAGAAATACCCAGAGAATAATTCGACGGGTTGGGCAAAAGCCATAGTACTGAGAAGGGTTGGGAGAAAAGAATGTCCTTTGTTCACATCTCTCCCAACTGGCACCGTCCCAAATTGAAAAACACATTCGCGATGTTTTCTTTGGGAGAGAGCACAAGGAGAAAAGAAAATAAGAGAGAAAATACGTCCAGGAGGAAAATGGACGAGAGATATAATAGATCGGAGGGAGAATGGAGGGTTGAATGTTGGAGGCTGAGGGGTAAGAATAGCAAGCTCAGTGAACAGCAGGAGAGACGGGTGGACGGGTGGGTGTGGATTTATAATGAAAATCGGAGAGTTGGACTGGAATTTGTGAGGGTTGGTAGCGACCCTCCTATCAGAACGAAGAACCAACCAGGCTTGACTGCAAGACTAGGGAGAAATAGATCTCGCTTTGGATTCTTCTGATTTACAAAAGAATCCATCGCTGTCTGATCAATACTTCCACGGTTACGAAGTAGTTGAGTTGAATCGACTTCAGAATAATCCACACGCAAGCTTCTGACCCAGAAGACCAGAAGCTACTCCAAAGACTCCAGACAATTTCAGTTAATAGGAGTGATCATTAGAACCACTCATTAAACTTTGAACACGAACTCAAATGGACTTTTCCCCATTACAATTCATCACACTCACCGTTCTCCCATAGATTGCCCTTTCCCTGGGCGTTGACAAATACTCAACCGTGAAAAATATAAAACGTTTTCTCTCATAGTCACGATGTCGTTGATGAGACTGGAGTATAGCCGTGACCGTTGGTGTGCTTCACGCTATAAAGGTACTCCAGCAGTCCCTCAGTGGCTCGTTAAGGCATTTGCATTTCATTTCAACCCCCCTCGACTCTCTCCCTTTTTCCCCCGTATAAATATTAATGCAACATCCTCCTCTCGGGGCTTTTTGTTCCTCTCTCCTGTCCCGAAGTGCCAGGATATGCCCCACCTCTTCATCCTCTCCTCCAACACTCCAAGCACTTTGAATGCTGATACGCTTTGGAGTTCCATGGAGCGCGAGAAGAGCGGTAGCTGGAAAATATTCAGTCTCTTTGTCTACGTTGTACAATGCTCTTTCATAATGAAAATTAAATTTATGAATATTCCTTTTTGCCCTCAGAAGTTATCTCGTTCTCTTTTTATCCGCCATTTTTTTTTTTATTCATCATATTTCAAGAAAAAATGGTATGTTACTCGAATAGAAATTCTTGGAGTTCTTCCATCCGTATCCAAAGGGGTAAGGCACGTATCATTGTAATATCACGACGCTCTTTCTCGTATATTTTTATAGTGAAGCGTGCCTGGAATTTTCTCAAGACTTCTCGCACCAATTCACCCCCTGTCCACCCCTTTGTTTTTAATTATAAACAGATACCACTGTAAATCAGAGAATAGGGGGGAGGATGAAGAGGATGAAGAGGATGAAGAGGAAGAGGGCTTTGGGATTTTTAGGAAGATCTCGTCGTACGTGCAGACGCGAAAGGAAAAAACCGAGAGACAGGGTATGCAGAAAGTGGTGAGGTAAGATGGGGCATTGCTGGCCCGACATTGCTGGTATGATTGCCTCAATGTCCCATAGAAACAATCCCCGTTTCTACGTGCCTGACATACATCCTGTCTCGTCCTCTTCCTTTCCCCTCATTTCCTCTTCCTCTTCTTCTCCCCGGACTCGGGAAAAACTCACTTTTCAATTCCACGGGGAAGAGGTAAAGTTCTCCAATTTCTCCAGACCGCTGCTGCCACTGGATAATCTATATTCATTTCTCGATTGGTGACTGGAATTAAATAATATTCTTCATTCAGAACCCGTTGAATCGAGTCCGTGAAACAAATCAGTGGTGAGGGGTCGGGGTGAAAGTCAATTCGACTCAATCGGAAATGAGAAAACTTTTCGGTTGTCTGGAGAAAAGCAAATGGCGAAGAATTACAGGAGGCGTGGCTGTAATTTTGCGTCCACTGGTGTAGACCATTTTTATTTTCCTTTTTGCACATTAGATACGGTTAACGTCGTACCCGATAGGAGTCTTAAATTAGCATTAGGAAGATCCGTAGTTACGGCACCTCGTGAATGCTCACCTACTACAACCACGGTTATTGCCTGTCGCGCGTATGTCACGTCGACGGGTTTTCCTTGGGGTCGCACGGGCACTTTTCCCCTCGTAATGAAGATCCAGTCGCGTATTTATACGACAGGCTAAGCCTTTGGACGCCTGTAACCTTGATATATCGGCAATATCCCCCATGGTGCCGTGGAGAGACCCTAGACCAAATCTCGATGTTGAATACAAAAATGTTATTTATCGATTCTCAGACGTGAACGAAAAATTATTTCCCTATAAATTTCCCATTACAATCCCCATGTAAATTTGATATACACTTTTTTGTTCATTTTTTTTAATGCACGGGTAAAAAAAATTTTAATCGAAATATTTTTTTGAAATTTTCAAAAAATTTCTGGAAAATTTTTCAGAAATTTTTTAAAATAATTTTCTAGAAATTTTTGCGAATATAATTTCTCAAAAAAGATGCCATCTAAATAATTTTTGAAAAATTTTTCAAAACCTTTCCCAAAAATAAAATTGTTTTGTTTCATTTTCATAAAAAAAAAATCGGAAAAGTTTTCCAAAAATTTTTTGAACATTTCGAAAAAATATTCCGATTACAATTTTTTTTTTTAACCGAGTGTGCCAACTGCACTTTTCGTATTTAAAAAATAAAACGCAGGATTTCTGTATGACTTTTTTTTGCACTCGAGCTATTTTTCTCGGCTTTATCCGCCCTTTCATTCCCCGGAATTTTTCCTGCCGATCGTTGGCGCTCAATTCACGGATATCATATCGAAAAGTCGAGTGGAATGGAGGGTTTGAAAAAAAAAAGACTTAGAAATGGCTTTGG